TGAGAACAGTGACAGAACTGTGTCCGGGATGTAGTTGACTATATTTGGGGAACTTTATATTTTAGAGAGCAAAAAGTCCAGTTTTATATATTTAAGGAATTGACTAATAAAGTAAGTCCCAGGTACCAAAGAATTGAGATACAATATAGTTATTTCACAGTATTTTTTATTGTTTTTGTTTCATTTCATCTAGGATTGGGTAGCATAACATCCTTTCTTGATCTGAAAACCAAGTAAGGACTGCAGTAATATTTTTACTAAGAATCTAGTTCACCTAGGGACTTAGGAGTCTTAAATTCTATTGCATTTATTGTGGTTATTATCACTGCTGCACTTAAAACCTTCTGCTTTGATCAGCTACACACTGTATAAACAGAATATATTATAAAGACAGTCCCATTCCTGAAGAATGTAGAATGCAATATGTCACAAGAAGCAGCAAACAATGAAAACCTAAAATGAAAACCTGGTAAGCAGAAGCTGCCCATTCCAGTCTTGAGTGACTCATTGAAATGAGTCTGCTAAGCAAAACAGCATCTTGTTTGAACCTTTTCTGTATTAAAAGAAAGTAAAAAAAAGATTTTTATTTGTGGAATGTAATGGATTTTTTTAATATGCTTACTCCATAAGGCTATTCGTACTTCAGTAGAAAGACTAAATAGAAATAAAACTTGAATATATGAACTGCATTTGCTGCAGGATGTAGCTTCTTTGAAAACACATCTGTAGCTGGAATAGAAATGTTAAAACACTGTGTATTAGTTTAAAAGAAGTGCAGGTAAAGTTTCCCACAGAAAGAAACCACATGTAAGGCATACGGATTTGCTTTCCCAATTTTACTACTCCTATCACATTCTCTTAAATTTCAGTTAATTCTCGTGTTCTATTTTTTATGTGTATTTTCTGTATTTATTTATTAGACTTACATGGCATTTTTCCTGTGAAAAGACTAACACGCTAACATTTAAAACTGCTGAGTTACATTGATAAGGCCTAATTAAAACTCATGTTGAATTTTAATTTGATTAACTTGCAAATTTCTCATTTTCTGATCTCCTGTTTATAGCCCTTTCTTCATTCCGGGTTTGGAAAAGGTCAATTATGAATTTTTAAAAGCCAAGAGCATTTTAAGAATATGTAGAAAAAGACTTCAGCTGATTGAAAGTGACATAAACAAGAAAAAATGTAATGACACTTAAGCATGTGTCACACCCCATTAAATGCATAATGTGGGCTTCAGAACCCCTAAAGCCAAATAGGAGCTCAACTTGGAAATGATTATTGGAAGTGTCCATTTGATCTTCAAAAGTAATTATTATAATTTTGTAGGGTTTTCTTTTGTCGTTTTGTGGGGGTTGGGGAGCTTTCTGCTTTGTTGATAATGTCAAGGCAGATTAGGATCAACCTGTGTAGTGCCTTTTTGCATATCCTCCAAGAGACAAATAGACCATTAAACATTATTGAAAGGTACATTCATTACAATCCACTTCAAATGCATTATTTTACATGTCATAGATTATTTTAGTGTTGGGTTATACAGAAAACCTCTTTCTGACAGAGAACGAGACTGGGGAACCCAGCACTGACAATTTAGTCTGCCTTTCCCATAGATGTTGTTCATTTTGTTTTTCCTAAAAGATAAATTGAATAGGAATTTTCTTTAATCTTCCTGTATTGGTTGGTGAATAATCTGTATATCATGGCATCACATATATAGCTTTTTAATTCTTTAAGGTACAAAAAGAGCTATAAGCATCCTGTGAATTTGGTTTTGCCTGTCCTAACATAAATCAAGTTTCCATTGGATTTTCCTTGACATCTTCAACTGAGAGAAACTAGAATGCCGTTTAGTCCACTGGAAATGTACATTTTCTAACTTTCATTTTATCATCTCCATCTTCTTCCACTTTTTCTCCAGGCTATCATGGCTCAGCTTCCCCAGGAGGAGAAAGCTAAGATTGCCGAGCAGGTGGAGATATTCCACCAAGAAAAGAGCAAACTGGATGCTGAGGTGGCCAAGTGGGATGACAGTGGTAATGACATCATTGTGCTGGCAAAGCAGATGTGCATGATTATGATGGAAATGACAGACTTTACTAGGTAAGGACAAAACATCTTGTGCTGAGAACTTCTTCAGACATCGCACACCTTTCCTTTCTGTTGCAATTTATTGCTATTAAGATGTGTTTTGGGGGATGCAAAGCCAGGTAACACTCATCATACATAACAGGGTAGGCTCTACAGTTCTCTACACATAACTGGTCTGGGTACTTCTCCAAAAGGGATTAATCACATAAATTTTTTCTCTTATTTGCATACCTGTTTTGTTTGCAAATCATTTTGAATTTCGGCAGCAAAGATAGTCTGTAACCTTACAGACGCTCAACTGACATTTCGTTTAGTACCCATATAAATGCATGTGCTTCTCTGAACTTTCAACATTTCAATACAATTTGTGTCAATCAAAAATAATGGCAAAACTATTTATATAATTTTGAATGCTGAACTCCTTAAAAAAAAAAAAAAATCCCAAATGAAATGAAACTGTTTTGATCTAATACCTTATTGGAGCCTGACAGCAACGAATTTTTTTTTTGCTTTCATTTCTTCTTTCTATTGATGTCTTGTTCTTCCCTAATTGCAAAGCATCAAAAGGCCATTAATTAGTGATCTCATTTAAACAAAAGAATTCTGTTTATATATAGTCATATTGTCTGTCTCACCAGGGAGAACATTTCACAAGATTCTTTGAATTGCAGATCACCATAATAAATTAACATTTTTTCAGTGATTATTTTTAAGGTGAGCTCAAAAGTTTAAATGGTACTTATCAAAATGTGATTAGACAAAACTGGACAAAAATCTTCATGTTTTCCTTCAGAATTAAAATAAAACGTCCATTTATTCATCCCATTTGGGTGCTCAAAGAGATTTCTTAATCTCCAGCTCATCGCATGCCCTGTGTCTGGAGGAACCTTCAACCCATTTCAGAGGGAGACAGTCTCTGCATTGACAATACAGTGTTTGCACATACCTGATGGATGAATAGATAGATAGATAGATAGGTAGATAGATAGATAGATAGATAGATAGATAGATAGATAGATAGATAGATAGATAGATAGGTAGGTAGGTAGGTAGGTAGGTAGGTAGGTAGGTAGGTAGGTAGGTAGGTAGGTGGATGGATGGATGGATGGATGGATGGGGGGGTGTTTAAATACCATTAATTTGCAAATAGCTCTACTATTTGCACTTCTATAGTTAGTTAATTGGTGATAGGCAACAGCAAACATTTTTATCCATTTTAAATTTAATAAGCATCTAGAAAGTTTGCTTACATTAATAGATTGTTACGATACTTTTTTCTAAGTAATTAATCTCTCGGCCTATTTGTTTTTCCCTCAGTTTGTGCTTTTACAACTACTTTTTTTGCAGTAGACTCACCACTCCTATATAGCAAATGACAGTGTACAACCTCTTCTAAATGGTGATATTTTAGATGAATCTTAATTACTTGCATAGTTGTATTTTCTTTGGGTCGCTGATCCTTCTGCCCAAAACCAGAGTGAAAAACCATCCAAACAGAGCCATCGTTTCATGGAAGGAAAATATAACATTCTAAAGCAGCAGCCCAGAGTATGAACAATTTTTTGCAATTTTGGATAATCTCTGATACATTGAACATCAAATTGAAAGTTTTGTAATTACATTTTGTACCATCAAAAGAACAGAACTAATAGGAAAATGAGTGAAAACTACTGTCACATTTGAAGTAAATTAAAGAAAAATAAATCAAAGAGCACCTCTGTCTACATCAGATTCAATAAAAGCTTGTTTAATATATCTCATTGAAACAGAACAAAGCCTTTCACACCTTTTTTGGTTGACTGTAACCTCAGCACTGTTAAAATAGAATAATTTTACAAATGCAAAGTGTTTGTGACGGTAAGATCTGCTGGTGTGATGAATGTAGAAGCATCTGAGGTCACTATGAAGGATTTTTCCTACAGTTCAACAGAAGTGGGATACTTGTTGTATTTCAGTAGCTGTTTAAGGTGTCTTAAGCCACCTTTCTCCATATAGTATAAGAAAAGAATAATAAGGAAAATCAATTCACTTCCAACTAAGCCATTCTCAGGAGCAGTAGCAAATATATTATTACAAACAGGATTAAAGTTTTGAGTCTGAAACAAATTTCTGTCTGCAGTGACTTTGTACTATGTGTCCAGATACGTGTTGGTAACTTTAACGACTAAAATCGGAGTTTTGTACATCATCATTAAAGCATAGTGAAAGATCAATCGTAAAGCTAATTATAAATGGTTTAAGTGTAACATAAGGATTATGCTTCACATATCTTCTTTTTCTGACAAAAAATCGACTAAAAAGTTTTTCTAAAATGTGCCATACTTGCTGTAGACATGACAGGCTTAACATTTAGCACTGGCTTGGGAATAAGATGATTTTGAAATAGTTGTGTATTCCAGAAAGAATTTTGGCTTAATGAGCACTTAAAAATGCATCTACTATTAAGTATGGCTCATGTGCTTGAAGGTGCCATCAGATTAAATTGCTAGTGAGGCATTTTGTAGGAGGGAGGAAATATATCAGACCAATTTCTTAATCAAGCTATTCTGTAAAGTAGTTAAAAGGTGAAATTGTAATAAATTAAGGAGCCATTTATGTTACTATTTTAAAATCAAACACTAAACAGGGTCACTAAAACTGTTGCCTTTCATGATTTATTTAGATTGTGCATAATTGTATTGCATTTCACAGAGGTAAAGGCCCCCTGAAGAATACATCAGATGTCATTAATGCAGCCAAGAAGATTGCAGAGGCAGGATCAAGGATGGACAAATTGGCACGGGCTGTAGCTGATCAGGTAATAACAAAAATGAGTAGATATATAATGTGACCTCTATCAATGAGTTGCCTTTTGCAGGAAAAGGTTATCTTGGCAAAATATTACCTGTTGAAAGTCACTGCCTGGTTATTGATCTACCTATTGAATATAAGTTCTTTCTTATATACCAATCAGCTTGGGTTTTGCAGTACAGGAAAGTCATAAATGAGTTTCTTTAAAGCTCAGAATTGTTCCACAGCCTCACTTCTGGACCCAGGCAATTGTATTAGAATTAGACATATATTTGCTGTCATGAAAACAGGAGAGATTTGGATGTTCTTTTACTCTTGCCATATGCCTGGGTATCCTTATATTCTTTTCAGCTCATTCTTCCAGCAATTTCCCTTGATACGGCACACATCTTTTTCAAGATTCAAGATTACCTGACTCCCTTGCTTCTGCTTTGTGCTGTGCTTTCAGCTGTTCCATGTTCTAGGGGCTGTATCCTCAGCCCCAAATTCATGTCACAACTGGAAACATAAATTTGCTATATTCAGCCTCTTTCTTGCAGATTGGATTATCTATCCATCTGGAGAGCAAAAGGAAGCATCGTGAAAAATCAAAAGCCAAATTTCAAATCTAGTTTCTAGGTAACTAATTTTAGATTGAGGCAAATTAAATTCAACTGTTTCTTTCCCTTGTAAACTTCCTATAGTTTCTTTCCTTTCAGTTGTCATCAGAAGAAATTTTGCTGGAAGTGGAAACTGATCTCTTCTTTGCTTCTAGTCTGTCTTTTCAAAATAAGTATTTCTTCAAGTAAGCAATTCATGGTGTGTAACACATCCTGCCGGGGAATATGGGCCAGAGTGGCAAGAAACCTGAAGGGGCCCATTTTCCTATAACCTCAGAAATTTGGGGTTAGGATTTCTTCAGTATCAGCAAGCACTTTTCCTGTAGTTAACCCATTCCAGTCTCTCAAATGTAGCATCTGATCATTTTAGCATAAGAAAGAAGAAATCCATCCGTCAGCTGAAATCCCTCCTATACAATATTTGCAGAGGTGGAATATTTTAAAGAAAGAAATGCAAAGTGACTTGCTATGCTTAGAGTGCACTGGCTTGAGTCACATTTTAGATTTCAGAAGACTGTAGCATGCACACTTTAATCATAAGGAGTAAAGTCACTGTGAGAATGAAGTATTTGTCTTAATGCCTCTGCTTTAATGATATTTTACAGAACTTTGGAGACACTCATGAAATATAAACTTTTTATGGACAGTTGCATTTTTAATTATTGTTCCAATGAGAGAGATCTTACACTTTCATTCACTCCAAGCTACTTATATTTAAAGCTTTGTCAGCTCTCTAGATGTATTTAAAGTTCATTTCTTTCAGTTCATAGACTGAAGAGTAGGGTAAATATTTCTGTATTAAATTGTCACCAGCAGGAAGAAGGTCTCTTAAGGATTCATGCCTGAAAGATGTAGCAGCTTAGAAAGAAAGGCATTATAGCATTGCCATAAGTATAGAGCAGATTAAACCTAACAGCCGCAATGAACCTTCAGCTTTGTTTATTGTTGGCTTTAAAGGGTGAAAAAAAAAAAAGCGAAGTGACTGCTTTCAGAGTTATAGATAATATAAGCAACTACTTCACTGCAAACATATTCCTTGCCAGCCTTAGCTACTGGGGCTAAAGCAGTCACCTCAAGTCAGAGGTTGTGATGCTGTTGAATCGTGTGTGTTTTATGAATCGTGTGTGTTTTATTCCATCAGGTTTTGTTGAAGTGCTCTGTTAATATTTTACAAAAATTGAGCATAAACTTTGTAAGGTGCTAAAAAGACCTGCTCAAACTCTGTTCCCCAAGCTCTACATCCAAAGAACATTGTCAGTCGGACTTTGTTGGGTAGCTCCAAAAAGTATTTGTTGGAGACATGCAGTTAGCAATAGACCCTTTTAGCAATGTTTCATCAGAGTGAATTACTGAGGTCTGTTCTCTTGAGGCAAGACCTTGAATGTTAACTACAGGAGTGTTGTTTATTATGCTGTTGATATTACAGGAGATGATGCAGTTTCTATTAAGGGTCCAAGAGACTATGAATAAATTTTACTTGGGCCTTTTCTAGTTACATTGATTATAAAGATTTCACTGAGTCTGCCACATTTGACCTAATGTAACTCATATCAAAATGCATTTGAGATACACAGCATCCAAAATGGTACAGGACTGTAGATAGCCTTCCCTCTAGTATGAAAAGGTATCCATTAGACATGCAGAGAGACCGATTCATCTTATTGTGTTCTTCAGAAGGGCTGCAATACTGATGTCATCTGCTGAGAGAATCTGTAATATGTCACACTTTACTAAGTAATATCCTTCTGGCACAAATTAATGTATTTATGCATTAACAATAAGCTTACCAAATCTGTCACTACCAAACCTAAGCAGTCTCACCTCTGCCTCTTGAGTCTTTAGCATGTCAGAAATGGTACTGGCTTCTGCTGTGTCCTCTGAAGGTCTACACAAATACCAGGGAACCTGGCAACATAGTCAGGAGTTGGCATTAGACTGGATGCAACCAGTTAGAATTGGGTTTATGTGGAATTTAACTTAACCTCAACACCCAGAATCCAGCCTGGAGTTTCACATCAAACTTGGTCTTTCAGCTGATCAATAGTTTCTTCTGTTCTGTACAAACTGTACCATAAGTGAATCTCAGCCTCAAACACAGCAATCATCTTATTTTCATTGCCTTTCATTAGTGGCTAACAGAGAGATTTCTTCTTTTTGCAAAGAAATATAGTGCATCTTCAGGTTACAATTCATCAATCTTCAGTTAAATGAAAGGTAGAGTTTGAATTTTCACATTTCATCAAGTACATGAAGTGATATGGATTCAGGTAATACACACACGTTGCCACTGTTTCCTCTGAGTGCCTGTCTATAATCAAACATAATCAGCTACATCTATTTAAATGTTTCTTTTGTCTGCAGTGCCCGGACTCAGCCTGCAAACAGGATCTGCTGGCCTACCTGCAGCGCATTGCCCTCTACTGCCACCAACTCAACATCTGCAGTAAAGTGAAGGCAGAAGTTCAGAACCTGGGCGGCGAACTTATTGTATCAGGGGTAAGTTGGTATTTGTATTTAGCCATTTATATTTCCCTTGTAGCACTTGAAAAAGGAGCATTTTTGATGGCAATAATGTACAAAACAAAAATATAGTGTTTCATAAGCAAATTTCTTTAAATGTTATCGCCATTATTTCAGACCTTGCAATAACTCGCATAGAGCAATTTGATTTTCCACTTACCCTTAGTTTATACTAACCTTGTAAAATCTTCATTCTTCCCAAAGAAAAGTAATTTCATAGCCTAGGAAGTCATTGCCAAGCTGTGAATATTATAATTATTTGGAGCTTTTGTATATTTGCTCATTATAAATCTTCTTTCCTTTGTTAGTACTGGTAATTTCCTTCCTCTGTGCAGAAGCCAGCTCTGTATGAAGTGGATATTGTTAAGATGGTGATGACTAATGGGATTTCATTCACTCAGGTTCCAATGCACACTAGGTTTAGCAAAAACTCTGGAAGGCCAGCAAAATATTTAAAGTTTTGATGCACATGCTGTTTTCAAATACTATTGGCAAGCACAATGATTATACACTCTAATTCCCAGTTATTTCAGTTATTTTCAGTGAATACCACAAAGTTTTTGCACACAATCTTTTTTAGAAATAAAGGCAGGAATATGCAGCAGCAATAATATTATAAACAATGAGTTTCCTATATTTTTGAACTATTATTTCTTCTCTTCTCCTAATGTTGGACTCTGTGCCTTTGGGAGATTACTAGAACCAAGCAGTAACAATTGCTGCTCTTCATTATTTTCTTGGGGTTTTATAACTAATCACCCTAGTATTAACCCCACGACACCTTTGTTACCTTCTAACTCAAATACAGACCATACGAATGTAAATGTATGTTCCACTCTCCTGAGTGTGTTTTCAAAACACTGGTGATTTGTGAGGCCCAAGATACTTGAAATAAGATTGTTTGCAGATGTGGTTTTGAAAAAGCACCCTCTAATTGTTTAAGCCCAATCAAGTACGAAGATTTTTAGGGCAACTAATTTGTGCCTTTTATTCCATCCATAAGGTTCCCCAGTGAAATCACTGGACTTCCTCAAACATATCAGAAGTCAACGGAAATGTTCTCAACTACATAACATTTCAATTTTTTGCAAAACACTATAGAAGGTCTTAAACATTTGCCAAGCTTTCTTGGATCAAACATCCTAAAGTCATACATACAGTCCTAAAAGGAGTTAATTCAGTGTTCCTGTGTCTGTCCTGAAATTGGTCTTTGCTTCTTGCCTTATGTACGCATGTAATTTTAATACCTTGATCTTCCCACAGCAATGAAAAGATCTTCTTCCATTTCCCTGATATAAATGGAGTGATCTGTCCTTGTATCGCTGACATCTATGCTGCATAGTAAATGCTATGATCTTTTCTTACCTACTGCCATCTGGGTCCAGCTTTTCATACGCATTGAATTGTCATATTCATCTATCTATAACAATTACCCAAATCAGTGCTTCTACCAGCTTGGCTTTTGTGGTTGTGTGTGTTTCTTTTTCAAGTCTCTTTATTCAGTGTATGTGGATGCTGAATAAGTCATTGTGAATCTCTAGCATCTATTCGTTCCTGGAACATCACCATCCGTTGTGAAATTTAAGTGGCCAAACTGCTTGACTTCATCATTTCCAGTCTGGCATTGTTAGCATCTGCTGCTTACCAGGCTTCATCATCATTGTGTTTCTGTTTAGTTGGGGTTTCACAGTCAGTTGCAAAGGCAAAACTAGCTTCCACCACAGCAATTATTTGGGTCTGTTCCAAAGACTCGGACTACTGACATACAGAAAATTTTGAGATTGCCCAACTTGCTTCTTCTGTGATTGCTCTGAACAGGAGGTGATAGAGAGAGATAAACTCATGCACATCCCTCTTTGAGAGCAGTATCGTGTTATCCGAGGTAACACGTCAGTACAGTGCTTTCCTGATAGTATTTTCCAAGCTGTTTATCTTCAAGGTGCTGGGTACTGTATGCTCCTTTGCTATCCAGGGATCTGGTATCCAACTGCACATCTACATCTGCTTGTCTACTTGCTGCTTCTGCTTCCATCTTCTTCATTTTCTCTTGGATAGCCAATTACAAATAAGCAGTATTTTATTTACACTAAAATGAAATACCATTATTTGGCAACTTGCATACAGTACAATGTTAGAAGTTCAACACAAACCCAGAATTCAAGCTTCCCAAGCTACAGAAGTAAGTTTATGTGAATGCACAATATTTATGTGTTTTGATGTAAATATCAAGCACTGCAATATATTACAATATTGCAATTTATTACTGTGCTTTCAAAGAACCACAGTATAATTCAGATTGATCCAAAAGACGAGTTATGATTCAGAACTTTTGTGGGAAGTACAATCTCTGCTTGAATTTTTTCATTATTAAAAATATTAATATATATTTATAAATTAAAATAATTGTATGCATATGAGTGTATGAATACATATGGGAATATGTATATTTATGCAAAAAGGAAAGAGACATAAAACCAGTTGAAACTTAAAAAAACACATGAAAGCCACCCCACAGTTCTCACAGTTCTTAGAGAAAAATGTGTTGCAACTACTCCAGAAATACTGTGTACATAACATATAATGTGCTATTTATCTTTTGGTGAAACTTCTATTTCTCCCTCTCCCCCCCCCCCCAAGATTCAGTAGTTCTATATGGCTTATCTCTGAAAATAAGCATAAAGCTGATCTTGTTTGCTTTTTCCTCTATAGATTGATATGATACTAGTATAGCATACGAAGTGGTTCTTTTTGGCACCATTGACTTTGCTGCAAATAGAAAACCAGATCTAAAAGTAAGAAAATGACACTCCTGAAGTGTACATTTTGATTTCAGTAAAGAACCCACTGTTGTTTTTCCCTTTCCTTCTTCCATTCCTTTTCCCCCAGCTATTTCTCTCCTTCAATCTTTCCCATCAAATTCCCTGCATGCAGATAGCAAAATTATTTTCACCAGATAAGTGCGATCTGGCAATTGAGAGTTAGCATACATCACCCTACCCTTATTCATATTAATGGTGCGAGGCAAATTTAGACTATCTGTTGATTTGGTCCTTTATGTTACAAGGTGAGACTCTTAACTCCTGATTCCAATTGAGTTTTGAAAAGTAAAATAAGAAACAACTATGTGATACCTGTTCTTCAGTTGCACTTGTAAACTTGAAGAAGATTATAGAAAAGAAAGTGAAGTAAAGGGGTGAGGAGGAAGTTAGATAAAATTAATATATTTTAAAATCCTTGTTCCTAATAAAAGCCTCTCTGACCTTGGTCCAGAAACAGATATATGGTTCTGTAATTTTCAAGTTGAATATTCAATTTCTAATTCCCCTCTAAGAATAAGCAACCTCCTTTACTAAAATCACAGGCTAAAAGAACTCCAAAATAATTTTCTTTGTCTCTTGCCTTGGTTTATTTAATGTAATGTGTATTTGCTTCATAATCAGTTGCACTGTATTGGAATGAATTCTCTGAGGTGCTGAGCATATGCTACTCTCAATGAAGTAAATAACATTTTCATATACTTAGCTGTTACTGACAAATAGCCTTTCTGTGGCAGCTACTTTTGTTGAATAGAGTTGATTTTAACCATGGCGTTTGTTATTTGGATAGAAATCCAGTCTTCTAACGCTAGGGCTGCCTCATGTTTTTAGTATTCCTGTCTGACTCTTGTTAGCTAGACCATTTCAATGAAGCAGATCTGTATATTCATTTCTTCCTCTAGAATAAATATCCACTTGTTCTGTTTACTGCTGCTCTGAAGCTGATCAGCTCATGTATCTACTCCACTTAGGCTCTGAGCTTGCATTTTTTAAAACTCTTTATGGTAGTAGCTTTGCTACAGTCTTTCCTGCAAGATCAGATTGAACAGAATCTGAGAAAATCCCTTATCCCTATCGTGTTCAGGTTTGATTTAAGAATCTGCAGATATAATCAGTTTTATTATCAGAAATTTGCCCAAATTTGTCTTAAACTTCTGAGCCAGATAGATATGCAGTGTCGTACGGAGTAACAGCCATGTACCTCTGAACACTGTCCAAAAATAGTGACTCGGTAACCAAAGCACACTCCAAACATACTTTAGCTGCTTCCATTTTCCAGTTATTTTCGAATAATTATCTTAGCATAATAGGCTCATCTATGATATAAGAGAAGGATCCTCACAACATGTTGAAGATAAAAGACAGTTTACTTAAGAGTGTAGCTTTATCCAAGAGTTCTTGCTTTGTGAATTTAAGCGAAGACTTTGGAGGGAAAAAAAAAGCAAAATTGCTAGACCACCCCATTAACTTTGGGTAGGACATTATGAAGATTCCTGTAACACTTGGACTGGGAGGTTGGATACATAAAATTATTAACAGATGCAGGATATACTGCAAAGTAGCTGTATG